GGACACACACGGGGACTCCCTCCTGTCTTTTCTCACCTAGCACTTCAGGAAGAAAGAGAGTTTGTGTGCTGACACCCTGAAAAATGAACTGTGGATTTTCTTTTGCCAAGGATTTTTAAGTGCTGAAGCTGAATTTCCTAGCTCTTCGCCTTTGTTGTCCTACCCAGCCAGTTTTTCTAAGTTACAGCATGGTTTTGCGTCTTGAGTCTCTTTCAGTGATGATAAGATCAAGAGGAAAATGACCCACAATCATGACACCTCTCACCCACAAGACAGCTGTACCCAAACAGGAAAGCATGGCTGTAAGCCAGAAATAACTGTGTCTCAAGCAGGTTTTGTTCACTTAGAAGTGAATGAGCTAACCCATGGAATGTTCAGATACCACAGGCACAAATGCTTTGCTGGAGTGTAATAGTGATCAATCCAGCAACGTCTACTGATACCTGCAAAGAGAGGTTAACCAAGAACAGAAAGCCAGTCGGTTGCAGACATATTTAACACTACCTCAGCGTAAGCGAGGGCAATACAGATGGTTATAGGATATTGTTATCGAAGGGAAGCACAGCAGTTACAATAAACAGACAGCAAAGTTACTGCATCAAAAGGGCTATGGTTATAAGAGTACATGCAAATTACACACTTGACCTTACTCTCAGATATTAAAGCAGCAACCTGAGGAATTTGTAACTACCTAGCTAGGAACTAAAAGAACTTACTGATTCTTACTGAAAAATAACAAACCCAAATCCCGTTTAATGCAATGAAGGACCAGGCTACCTGTTGACAGAATGAGAATACATGGCAGAGCACTAAGAGAGATGGAAAGATTGCCAGGGTGAGTCTGTCCAGGATCTGTGTTCCCTGTTTTTCCATCAGTGCCAGGGAGCTTTTGTTTATGAAATTCAAATATTACTCACACAACACATTCATCAGGCTTATGCTGTACAAAGTATACAATGCTTCCCACCACTGCAGGAATTTAGATGTGTGAAAATGTGTGATACATTAGTTTTCTTCTGCCCTTTTTTACAGACCAATTTACAAATTTTTTTTGTTTTGTCTTTCACACTTGGGCAGGAGGAATCGCTTTTGTCAAATGGTCATGATCCCATATGTCCCTGATACTATTTTTGGGTAAATTTAATATTTTCTGAGATTTTCCAGCTTTGCTTGCAACATAACTTTGTCCCAAAGATATCATTTATTTCATCACATAATGTCTTGTTTCGGCAACTGTTTTAGATCCCATGCTGAGCTTCTAGAGGGACAGTTAGATCAGTTGGATCCTAGCTAATAGGAGAAATGCACCTATCAAACAGCTACTGGATCTAAAGAAACCTCAGGCATTAGAGCAGATAGATGGAGTGACATATATCTCTTCACACCAGACAACTGGATGAGACAAAGAAAGTGACTGTGACGGTGCAGCAAAGGTCATGATGGCATGAAAATGGGATAACCACCTTTAACAGGAAGCAAAACCATGATCTAATTATGCAGCAATTCCCAACACATGCCATTAAATATTTATTCTATAAAATGTGATCCACACGCTATACACTTTAGCAAAATGCTCCTCTAAAGACAATTTAGGGAATTTTCAACACTATTTCCCTGTAAAGGAAACCTTTTTGCATGTCAGATGGAGAAGAAATATGCTGCTAAAGATAACTTAAAATTTTCAATTACAGATGCTGTAGTTCTAAGATTTATCATGGATAAAAGTAGATCCCTTGGTCTATTGAAAAAAGGAGATTCCAGGATGTGGATTCACATCTATGAATGACCTGTCATGATTTTCCAGCCTGTGCTTATTAGTGTTGTCAGAGCTTGATTTCACTTTCCAAATGTCTAAACAGATCAGAGAATCCTCAAGGATTTAAAGAACGTACATTTGACCTCCCAGGAAAGTACTGTCTTTCCCTCCCAAATTGAGACATTTTTCACCTCATATTAAATCAAAGTCAATAGAAGAAAGCACCACATTGGAAGAGACTGTTGAGTCCCCTAATATAAAAATAGATTTATTTGCACAAGTCATTGTAAAGAAGTAATCTCCCCCCTCACTCCATCCCACTAGTCTTCTGCACACACACCACATATTGTCTTGAGAGAAGGGAGAGAAAAACTACACCACAGAAATCTCAGTGTTGGGACTAATGTGGAGGGTGCTAATGTCAAGAAGAGATGGAAAGGGCTCCAAGGCACCTTCCCCATAGCTCTCCTCCACATGCAGTGGGGGAAGAGTGGTGCTTCCCAGTTCAGCCTGCTTGCTGATCTTCTCTGGAACAGATAATTTATACATAATGCCCATAAAACACACGCACAGACCAAATATTTTTGCCTTCAGAAGGACTGTACCTTCCAAAATATGTGCTTGAAAAGGGCACACCCTTACTACTTGGCTACATCCAGGCTCATCAGCAGTACACTGTGCTATACTACAACTGCATTTGGTCTCCTTTTCAGGAACTAAACATAAACATTTCCAGCAAACGTTCTTAAAGATAAGTTTGCTTGCCAAGTAGTGCTGCTTTTGACCTGAGTAACAGTTGTGAGAAACCATTTTGTTTACATGGGGAAACTAGAGAATAGACTTTCCAATCACTCGTCACATACCAGCCACACACTCATTAGCCGTGGTGTTTGTTGCAGGCAGAAGGAAAACTTTCTCTGGAAGTCATCATTAAAATATTTTATCCCCCTGGGCTGCACACTGCCATGTATTTTGCAGGCATCTCATAAAAATAAGAGGAATATACATTTTAAGAAGCTTTCTTATTAGAAAAAGGAATGCCTATGAACTGCCAGTAACATAATTAAGTAACACTTAAAAGGATTGTGAGTACAACTACTGCAACATGGAAATGTTAAAACAAAGTATATGCTGAAATCAGAGGGAATCTGGAGGAAGACCTTGAAGGAAAACCAAGCAGAGGTGTCACAGTTTGACTCAGCAGGCAGTTTTGAGCAGGTAATTCTTAGGTACACCAGTTACAACATAACCTCATAGCAATATAAAGATGTTTTTCAGCAGAACAGTAGCTATGACGGACAAGAGACACCAAGTTAACTGCTACCTTTGCTGCTGCTAGTGCAGAAAGACAATGTGTCTCCCTCTACATCACATCAGAATCTGCCTTTCTCCCAGGGGTCTATTTTAGTTACAGCCCTCCACTATTTCTATGCAACTGGAAGCATTTGACACTAAACACATGAACGAGGATACCAGTTGTCCCAGTAAAAGCAAACCAAAGAAATATTAAGACATTGGTCAAGCCGCTATACTTGGAGAAGCAAGAAATATATGGGCCTGAGGGCTTTGTTAGCAACTTCCCAGGTGTCCAAGCTCCACGCCCAGCTTGTATGACCTCTCAGATCAAAAATAAATAATCATCTTGGTTGCTCTGATCTGAGGACCACAGGCTGGGGAGAGCACACTCTGGAATGCAAAGAACAGTGCTGATGGTGGACTCTGTCAAGATGTTTGACTTGGCACTGTCATTCTGAATCAGAAACTTGAGCCATACAAAACCGACAATCACTTATTTAGAGAATTAAAAGCTGTGTAGGACACTGACCTCATAGTGTCAATAGAAGACACAGCCCACATTGTTGTGTTTCTGCTGGAGAGCCTTAAACTCAGTTTTTTTCCTGCTGTTACTCTAGCATTTTTTCCTCAATTGCCTGGAAAAGAAGATAGTAACAGAGTATTTGTGGGTGATAAAGGTGACAGGCAATTAATATGGGATATGTCACTGACTGAATGCAATTTGCATGCCTTGGTCTGCTGATTGCAAATGAATGTGCTGTCTGGGGTTCCTCTCTGCTAACTTTAGACATCTGCATCTGAGCAAGCCACACAGATTCCTTTTTTAGGCAATCGAGAGAAACAGGCATCTGACCTGCTTCAGATATCTAGAAGTGCCTATTTTTCACAAGTGATCACAGCAGAAATCTAGAGATGCTGTAGATCTTTCACAGTTAGGTATGTTGAACCCATCCTATGTGCTTTAGTCAGACAAACGTAAAGTGATTTGCATTCCTATCTAAGATGCAAGAAGGTAGGCCATATTTAAAGGAAAGGCAGTGGATTGGAAAGAAAACAATCAGAAAAGAAGGTGGTTTTCCTGGGAGATAACTAACAGAAGTCAATCCTAAGATGAATAGAGGGTAAAAAGTCCACCTGGAACTGGACAATTACATCCAGTTTGCATTTGGCGCTGTGCAACCACTGCAGGGGCACTGGGTCTGGCTTACAATTTACTGAAGAAGTTGATAATCTGAACAGAGTTCAGAGAACAGAACTTTGAATACTTAAGGGACTGGTAAACTTGTAAAGCCTCACAGGCTAAGTAGCTTATCAAGGAGAGGTCTGTGGGATGACTCGATGACAGACTATAATTTTGTACTTAGTGAATACAGCTAAGTGCAGGCAAATGGAGAATTGGATCTGACGTCTGGAAGCTGAAGCTGCAGAAGTTAAGTCTAGAAACAAATTAGAGATAATCTGCAGCGAAAGCAATTAACCATTGGGACAACTTATGACTTAGAGCCATTGGCTTTCAACCACTAGCAATTTTTAAATCAAAGCTGAATAATTCAAATGGCCTAGTTCAAGTAAAATGTCATTTAAATGTGTCTGAAGGATTATGTTGTGGTGTTCATGAGTGTCAGTCTGGATGACCACAGTGGTCTCTTTTGGCTTCAAAACATATAAATTAAACCAAAAAATTAGGTTAAATCTTTGTGACTTGGTGACCTAAAATGCAGAAATATCCAAGAAGGCCCAAGTCTCAGCACTGAGCAGCAATTTGGGCAAAGCACTGTGATCACGTTAACAGTGTAGTTTCTAATACCCAAGCTCATTCATTCAGCAAAACACTGTGTTGTTACCAGCCCTAATTTCCAGCCAGGATTCTTTGGAAGGATATATTTTCTGGATCTAGCAATATACAGAGAGTAAGTAAGTCAAAAGTATAAAAGGGAGATAAAAAATAGGTTTTGCAATAATAAACCATATATTGCATGCATACAATTGAGGATGGAGAACATGTAGCAAGAAGTAGATTCACTGGAGTCAGTAGTTACTTCCACTGAAGTGCTATTTGTTCGGTGTGTGAAGGAAGTACAGCAGGGCCTTGACCTAACCCACATACTAGTCTCTCTTCAAAATAAGTGCAATGAACTCAGATACTGCAGAAAGAAAAAGAGCTAGACATAATACAGACACGAACAACATATAAAAAAAATAAATTTTGCAAATTTGCTTCTGACATTTTCTCTGAGATGTCCCACATCCATCACAATAAATCTACCATCCACCCCCACCTTCTGAAAGACTTCTCGCAATACTCCCATTTCCTCCGCGCCTCTACAACCCATCATAACAAAACTATGTGTCTTTTGCATCGTCTCTTGTCTACCTCTGGTTTGCCAGCTGCCTGGGCCCAGAGGCAGAGTGGGCTGAGGTGCTGGGTGCACCCAATAGCTCGGGGCTGCTGACGCTTGGCTTCTGCTTGACTTAACGGGATTGAACACAGAGCCAGGTAGGAAAGCTAATAGCAGATACTTATCTTAATAGACTTAATGGGCTTACACACCTCCCCTGACCCAGGATGCGCAGCTTAGACTCACACTGTTATATTTTCCTGCCTTCCAAAACAACTGGGCCTTCTGTGGAGCAAATGTGGGACATGATGGTGGGCTCATGGCATGAGCTAAGTGGCATCTGGGAATTGCTGGGAAAGCATGAGGTAGCTTGGGGCAAAACCATGCCAGGGACCATGCCAGGAATGTAGCAGGGTATGTGGCAATGTGTCAGGGTCTGGGCCTGGGCTCTGGCACTGTTTATTTTAGTAGTGGAGACGTACTGCTAGGGCTGCCCTCCTCCTTTCACTACACAATTTTTGCTTTAGAAATGTAATACCCTCTGTCAAATGGGACTGATCCTTGACAATGTGCTCAAAAGTTACTGGCAAGAAATTCTGGGCAGCCAGAGTGATCAAAGAGCCTTAATGCCTTAGAAAAATAAACTAAAAATAAACAAAGTCCATATATCATTTCTACCACATACTACTTTCCAGCCAAGCTGAAAAGTACTTGTTCCAGGAGAATTAACTGAAATACGGGCTCTGCTACACTGCAAAAGCTACCTCTCCTCAGACACATCCTATCTCTCCAACTAACCAGAAAATCACAAGTCAATTTACTCTTTTCCTAGTTGTGTGGCAGCCAACATCAAGATGACAGGAAAATCATGCTGGGAGAAAGAACAAGACCAACAATAACAAACTGATATATTCCTCAAAGTTTAGGGTGCAAAAGGCTTCACAGTTAGTAGAATACGATCAGTCAAATCTATCTTGTAACAATAAACAATGAATTGCAGTTGTATAAAATAGGTTTGGTTTAAAGTGGACATTCAAAGGCATATAATCTCCATTAGGTTTATCTTTTCACCATCTATTTTCTATTCCTGACACTGTGGTTGTCATAAACCATGCAAAATATTTGATCCTAATATTCGAAAGGATCTGAGATTAGTGATGAGCAAAGCCCAGAAAGTTCATGAATTTGTACCTCAGAGATTGGCTTCCCTAGAATACTCCAGCTATCTGGATCAGCCTGGTACTCAGTAGATAAGTTTGTTTGGAAAAATAAAAGCACAGGTACCAGCATCCTTCGTGGCATCCTTAGGTGAATAATGGAATTAGTAAGTGTCAAGGGAAAATTTAATACTTATTCAAGTCAAAGTTGAAGAAATTTGGCTGGGAAATTGCTACTTTCTTTGCCCATGATACAGTAGTTGGGTAGACAAGACTTCTTCAGTTCAGTACAGGAACAACACCAAGAACATCTCAAGGCAAAACTTGCTTTCTGATACTGCCAGTGTTGCCTTTTGCAATGATATTCTGAGGCAGAAAGTTTAATTATTTAGGGCCTGATCAAAACTTGATTGACTTCTGATCAGGAAGATAAGGAACCCAAAAGCATTCAAATTGAGAGTTTTGTATGATTTTTAAAATGTTTTATTTTTTCTTTTCATAAATAGCCTTTTATGTCACCACTGCTGCTGCATTTGCATGCACCTAACTTCTTTGCCTAAAAGTTACAAAAAGATTTTTTGGACTGGTATTATTAGTTGTCAGAATGTTGCAGAACTCACACTTTGACTATTCGTGCGTTTTGTCTTGTTTCAGGCTGTGGAATATTTACTTTTCTAACTTCTGCCGTCGCTGCTGTAAGTGGACTTCTGATGGGTTATGAGCTGGGCCTTATCTCTGGAGCTCTTCTACAGATGAGAAGCATATTAGCATTGTCTTGCAAAGAGCAAGAAATTGTTGTAAGTTCCCTTCTTTTTGGAGCCTTGTTTGCATCTCTTATTGGTGGATTCCTGATAGACCGATTTGGAAGGAGACTTGCTATTATTATTGCATCTTCTTTACTTGTGTTGGGAAGTCTGATTTTACTGCCCTATGAATCATATGGGATACTTATTGTGGGTCGGATTGCCATAGGTATTTCCATATCATTATCATCAATCGCAACGTGTGTGTACATTGCTGAGATCGCCCCACAGCACAGAAGAGGCCTCCTCGTATCATTAAATGAACTCATGATTGTGATTGGCATTCTCTTTGCCTATATTTCAAATTATGCATTTGCCAGCGTATCTCATGGTTGGAAGTACATGTTTGGCTTTGTCATTCCATTAGGTGCTTTGCAGGCTGTCACCATGTACTTTCTTCCTCCAAGTCCTCGGTTTCTTGTCATGAAAAATAATGATGAAGCTGCAAGGAAAGTACTGGAGAGGCTACGGGAAACATCAGATGCTACTAAGGAACTTACTGTGATCAAGACTTCCCTGAAAGATGAACATCAGTATAGTTTCTTAGACCTGTTTCGTTCAAAAAACAACATGAGGGCCCGAATGTTGGTAGGACTCACTCTGGTCTTTTTTGTCCAAACAACTGGGCAACCCAACATTTTATTTTATGCATCGACTGTCTTGAAGTCAGTTGGGTTCCAGAGCAATGAAGCTGCCAGCTTGGCTTCTACTGGAGTTGGAGTGGTTAAAGTGGTCAGCACAATCCCAGCCACAATTTTTGTGGATCAAGTTGGAAGTAAAACTTTTCTATGTATTGGCTCTTCTGTTATGGCAGTATCCTTGGTTACTATGGGCTTAGTGAACCGTAACATACATGTGAATTTCACAATTGTCTGCAAAAGCCAATCTCCAGAGGATTTATTTCTCCAGAGACCAGGGAACCTCACTGGTGTCACCAACGGAAGTCTCAAAGACCTCTTTGCTGGCACAGCTTCACCAGAGAGACTGTCATTTGATGTGCAGAGAAGCCCAGATGTTGCCAGGACAGGAGAACTGAACAGGACTGCCATGGCAGGAGGCAAAGGCATAGCAGGGTCTCACATGGAAAGTGGGGAGGTTCCTGTTGTCCTGAAGTGGCTCTCGCTGGCCAGCCTGCTTGTTTATGTTGCTGCATTTTCCATAGGGCTTGGACCAAGTAAGTGTTTCATCTTTCTAACTCTTTGTAATGATTTACTTATAACTGGATGACACACCCAGCTTGCCATCAGGCAGTTCCCAAGTTGGGCAAAGCAGTGTTTTCTGCTAATGCGTGTTGGTACCGTCACAGACTGTCCTGGTGGAGTGGGGCATACTTTTTAGGAAAAGGTCCTGCCCACTGAGGTCAATGGCCTAATCTCCCTTCACTTTGGTGTAATTAAACACTCCTCTGCTGTGAAGTTCTGAACTGCTGTGAGCTCTGTACAGCAAAATTATGGGATGCCTTAACTATCTTTCCTCTTTCTGATCTATTGTGTCCTTACATTGGGAAGGTTAAGATGTAGGCATTTGCTGCTGCTAACTCACAAACCCAAGATAACGATAAGTTCCAGACCTCTGTACGGTATGACACCTTCAAACCCATGAAATGCCAGCATACCTAAATCTCGCTGAGGCTCTGGCTCCCCGATTAGATAACAGTCTATTGATATCGAAAAGACATTCAATGTATTGTAGTTCATGAACAAACTAGTTATCATCGCCACTACGTGTGCTGAACAGCACAAGTGGAAGAACACAAAAGTACATCACTGCACAACCAAAGTACTGCTATTGCACTTGTATGGTTCCCACTCTCTCTGGAGGAGAATGTCTGCCATTCTTGGGAACTAGTAACTAAATTTCTCTATTTTGTTTTTTGTTTCAATAGCACTTGTATATTACTGTATTTTGAAGTGATTGATTTCTTAAGCCACATTGCAAAACCTGCATGTACAGAGTCAATTATTTATTAACTGACTTTATGTGCTTTTGTGCCCTGACTTAAACTTGCCTTGCAAACACACTGTACTCCTGCTTCACTATTATGATAAAAAGCTTGCCACAAGAATACAACCCAACAATTGCATTAACAGCAACTCCCCTGAAATATTTGTTTATTTTAAACATTACTCACTGGGGGAGCAGTGTGAGATAAGCATTCATTGCCAGGGCAGCGAGCTTGACTGTGTTATTGCAGCATTATTCCTTCCCTTGCACACTGTCTGGGGGCTGGATTCTGCTTTGGATGACAAAGGTTCAAAGCCATGGATGTAGCCCTGAAAAGAAAATGTTACTTGAGCTTTTACTTGCGTGTTTCAAACACACACTCAATGACCCACAAGGCAGGATTGCGTATTAAGGCTCAGCCTCCTGTTGAAAGCTGCTTTCCTGTTGACCGGGCTGTGAGTGGGTTCCTGGTCATTTGAGTTGGCCTAATGTGAAATTAACGATAACGATGCCTGTTTCCTTGAGGGCCACAGAAACTGAGGTGTGACTGCCAGGCTATTATGAGAAGTCTTTGAGGCCCATGCTTGTTTTCAGACCTCTTTCTTGACCAAGAGCACAAATGTTCTCAATGGAAAAGAACAGGCACTGTCTCAGCTCCAGCACGTTGAAATTATGTAAAGTCACAGTGAGGCAATTTAAACTGACACATGCATTTCTATAGCAAGGGAAGGCCAGGTCTAGGAGAGACACAAATCACAGGTACTTTCAAGACATTTCCATGCCTTTAAATGTACACTATTCAGTTAAAATTGGCATTATATAGAAAATGCAAGAGTCAGAGAATCAAGGGATTGTTGGAATCTGAAAAGGATCTGTTGTGGTTGAATTGCCTGGGTTGGGATGCGAGGTTATGATTTGTGTCTCATATGCAGCCTTCAATATATTCTTGAATGTATTTTAAAAGCCTAGCTTTTCATTCCTCAGCATGCCCCTCTTAGTGTAAAGAAAGAAAAAATTAAAATGAGCCCCTCTGCTTATATAAAGTAAACAGTTTTAACATGTTTGTGTTATTTATCTCTAAATCTGCTCTGTGGTCTGGACCAGACCTTCTGTCTTCTCTTAAACAGGACGGAGGCATCAAGGCTGCTCTTGCTGGCTGCTGTGGCTGGGTGGTGCCTGGGCACCTGGGCACAGCAGCACTGTAATTCCCTTGCATCACTATTTTTGAATGCAAAAATCTCATATTCTGCACAATGTCTTCCCGATCTGCTGGCTAGGGTGAAAATGTTGCTGGAGACATGTCTGTTTGTAACCCACAGACCAAACCAGCTTCTTTTGGATAAAGAGGATCTTGCTTTTTTCCCTCCATCCCACAAGGCCATTTCTGCAACAAATTCACTCACGTCATTTTGAGTCCTTATGCCATTATGTCCTGTGGTAATAAAGTAGAATCTATGTAAGGCCACTGGGAAAATGGTACACCCTTCATAGGGCAAATCACGCAGCTGAGCTCTATTATCTCTTTTTTTCCTTCTTTTTTTTAGTATTCTGTTCAAAGAGTAACTTACAGTCCAGATTTGCACAGTAGACATTTGTAAATGTTGTATTTTTTCATGATTCTCTTTTGTCTCCAAATTACATGAAGTAGATGGATTTTTAAATGAACTAAATATATTTATTGCCATTTATCAAAGCACCCAGGCAGCACAGCAATGAGCACTCAGAAATAGACAGTGGGAGATAAAAGCCATTTTTGCATTATAAAAGAATTCAAAGGCTAGTAAGCATCTGCTTCATCACTTTTTTGATTCTGGGGTGCTCTGTATTTATATAATCAACCCTTAGGCAAGATAAAAGGGGTATTTCTGCTGCTCCGTTTCAGATTAATTATGTTTGATGAACTGTGATTCAACTGCTTGTTCACACTCAATTTCACACTATTATGAGGAGGTTTTGTAGGTGCAACAAATCAGTGTTGCATCACGTCACAGAATAGCACATGCTGTCTCTCCAGGGGTGTTTGCAGAGGCGTTTCAAGGTGGTTATTAGCTAAAGGGACTGACTTGACACAAGCTTTGTCTTGAGTTACCTTTGTCTGCATACCAGAAAGGTGAAACGAGGATCAGCTGTTCTCACCAGGGAAAGATGCCTGCAGAGCCCAAAAGAGTCCTCTCTCTGGCTGCCATGTGAAGTGTGAAGAGTGCAAGAGGGGCCCTTCAGTGTTTTCAGTGCATGTTTGCAAGGAGAGGCATTCAAACCTGCTGTATGCAGAGGGGAAACAGGAGAAATTAGAGCCTCCCAGAAATGCTGCTACCCCTTGCGCAGGGAGCAGTGAGAGCGGGCTAGTGAGATGAGTGTAGCGTTGAGGTAGATCACCAATTCACCACCCAAGCTAAAAGCTCAGTGTGACCCTGGAAATTTAACACAAAGGACACACAGAGGAATTTTAGTCAGAGCCGGGACCACGCATGACCACTTACTAAATGACACAGAGCTAACTGAAAGGGTTGCAAAGTGTCTCATTTGCCAGATGCTCTGTTCAAATCATTTGAGGGGAAAAAAAAAAAGGTCCATCTTTTTAACAGAGGTATCATTTCCTTCACTCATTGCTGTTGTGTCGTACAACTTGTTGAGATGCAGAAAACAAACTCCTAGAGTGTTTGAATTATTTTCCAAAGTGAGGCTGTAAATGTTGGACTCTCGGGGTTGAGTGAAGCATGTGCAAGAGAGTTCTCTTGGTTAACAGCTTTCTTTCTGAAACAGAGTGGGTTCCCAGAGTCCTGCTGCTTGCTTCACAGATCTGATTAAAAACATTCAACTTCAGTTGTCAGATGACATCCGTTACCAAAGATCTGCTTCTCTTGGTCATCTCCTTTTGCACCATTTAGGATGGAAGACTAAACAGAGGCAACTTCCCTCCATATTTTCCTATATATCCCCTTAGTGAGGAGGTCTCAGTGGGTGAGATCAACAATAAGCAGCCAAAAGATACAGTAGTACCATATGCATTAACAGAGGGATGTGATGTTGCGTGGAGGTAATCTTCTTTATCAAACAAAAATCAGAGGGGCTCCAACAAGTCCTCAGCTGAGGAGCAAGTAATGCAAACTCAGTCTGAACCCAACAGAGCCAATTTCTTTACCCAGTCTGAGTTTGTTCTAACAAATAGAAAGCAAGTGAGAAAGAAAGGACTTGGGCAGGACCCCTTTACACATGTTGTGGGAATGCAGTTCAAGGGCATCCATACATATCACATGAATTTTTTGCTGTGCAGTAGACATAACTTATTGAAAGGGTGATGTGCATTTGGACTGCATGTGTGGCGTTGGTGTCTTGCACAAAAGAGCTCTTCCTCCTCTGTCAGTCCTTTAAACATGTTTCTGTATAACTGCAAAGGTGTTTAGGCAGTTGGCCAATGAACTTCAGGATAATCTGCCAGTGCAAATCACATCAGTTCCACTGACGTCATGGCAGTTCATACTGGGCATCTACATGCAAATCAGCAAAAGCACCTGTAAGTGGGACTTCCCTTCTGAGACAAATGGCTTCGCTTCTGAGTTAGACCAGATGATCTATGTTGGGCTAGATGATCTTTTGAGGTCACTTCCAAGCCCTAACATTCTGTGATTCTGTGACTGTTATCTTACCTGTTGTTAAAGACTTTTTTCTCTCTGCTTTCCATTGAGCTTTAATCTACAGGCTGGGGCGCCAGGTTTGAGCACCCATAGGGTCCTAGCACAGGGAAGGGTGGCAGGCCACCAAGCCACCCGTAGGTTGTGAGTTTCACACTGATGAAGTTCCACCTATATGAGGGACCTGGGATTGCAGCTTTGTGCCCCCCAGCCTGGATGGCCCCAAGACAGGGCAGGGACAAGGCTCCCCCACTGTGATGCACTGTCTTGCTGCTGTGGGAGCTCTCTGCATGGGTTGTCAGAACAAAACTCATGCAGGGAAGGCAGTGAAGGCAAGCCCCTAGTGAGGACAAGTCTTAGGAGCAAATTTTTACTGATGAAAGACTAGTTTGGGATGATGTCCATTTCTAGTTTAAACCTGGACAGATTTGCCATATTGAGTGTATCAGAGTTAAATTTATAACAGCTTGAATGGATGCTTTAGAACTGAGCTAATTTATACCTAAAATAGAACAGATGTTTCAACATGTTTGGAAATGTAACTGATGTGAGAGCCAGATTCCTCAGATAATTCTAAAAGGGAAATATTCTCCCCACC